ACGTCACCACTGTCCGTCTCGTGCTCACTGACACTCTCCATTTCCCATGACATCCCAGTGCTTTTCTTTTGAGGCCTTAAAAAGGGGGGGGGGTGGCTCCAGAAGAACAGGGAAAGGAGCACACATATATAACAAACGAGCCGAACATTTTTAACATGTACAAAGGAGCTAACAACTAAAATGAGAATGTCCTCACATTAAGGCGCATACCTGCTAGCTGACATCATTCACAATATACAAGTTAGTACAATGCTTTTCTAAATCCATATAATACGATTATGCTGAAAACGGAATGTTCCCTAGAAGGAATGTATAATAGAGACAAATTCTCCTCTTTTCATGGCTTCATTTACTATCTTTCCTTGATGACTCCCAAATCTGATTTTCCACATTTATCCTATACCACAAACATTTCTTTCTTGATGTTCTACTGGTACCTCAAACTAAACGTGCTGGGTAGATGTCCTTGTTTTGATCACGAGTTCTGCTGATTCTGGCCACAAAACCCTTACAGTATAACCTGCCTATGACTGTATTACCTTGCATTGATTTTTGGGGATCCCACGTTTAGATGCTTTCATTTTCAAAGAAAATCCCACATCCTCCAACATTTCTCTGATGAAAATAGGGACATCCTATTCCATACCCTCCAACCATGAGTGTTAGCCAGGATTTTTGTTGGGGGCAGCGGCAGGCCTTATGTTAGAGGGGGGAGAGAGCCTCAGTTAGCTATGTACAGTATTTATATTGATTGTTATTGATTTGGGGGGCAGCTGACGCTCCCTGGCCCACCATGGCTACACCCATACCTCCAACATTTCTCCAATGAAAATAGGGACGTACTAAGGAAAAGTGGGCCATTCCGGGATCAAATCAGAAACCGGAATAGCTTCTGTAAATCCAGGACTGTCCCTGGAAAATGGGGACAAGGAAAGCTAATACATGAGGAAGAGAGTTAGACTAAAACCCTTCTCCCAAATAACATTTAAAAGTGCAGTCCATAGTTCAGCCATAAAGAGCATGCCTGCCTTGACTAACATAAGACAACTTCCTATGTTCCTGTTTGAAGACTGAAGCAGTAAAATCCTGGGAGGAAGATTACCCCTGTGCATTTTCACTGCTTTTGAATCATCGTAAGTGCAGGCATGATGACAAGGTCCATGATCCAAAGAGGAGCATGATAAACCCTACACAGAAGCAAGAACTTCTGAAAACCTCTTCTTGAAAGCAGCTCTACACAACACCCAGTAGACTTCTGAAACTTCAAGGATCTTCAGGAGTGGTTCAGATGCAGCAGGTGGAGGTAGGAAGATAGAGACAAAATGTTTCCACACTTCTTAAGCACTCTTTGGCAGTTAGTCATGGTGAAAAACCACTTATAGAATTATTCTGAGGACTCACTGGGCCGGGTAACAACTTATCAGCCCGAGGAACATCTACAGTTGTTTCTTAACTCCAGGAAACATAACTGGGCTGCTTTTCTGTGCTCAAAGCATCACGATCATGCTGAGCTCTATTCTCTGTGCAACAGATTAAAATTGCAGGTTGCATCAATGGATCCAGTTTGTGCTTCCCTCTGAAATGCTTGTATCTGTTTGCTGCACAGCCTCCAGCTTCAGCTCAGATATATTCATCACAGTGCTACTTGGCATTCCTCCAATCTGAATGTTCCCTGATCTTTTTCACTACATGATGTAACTCCAAACCTAGATGTCAGAGGTGAGGAATCTCCAGCCTAATTAGGCCTGCCAGGGGTCTGCAAGGCCATTTTTTCCAGAGCAGACCTCATAAGTGACATCAAATGTAGGGCAGATAAAGACTCAGCTGCAAAAGAACAATCAGGCGCTTGAAGTCCACTCCCAGTGGCTCCTTGGCAAGTAAGTTTTGCTGACAGCACTGATTGGCTGGTGGGCACTGATAGCAAGCCCCTTTGAAGCAGTCTACTTTCAGGTGTGGTTTGAATTCAAAGAGGCATGTTTTCCCTTGCAAACAGTTTTGCCTACCTTTGAATCCACACTGAGCGTGCAAACAGGCAAAACTAGCTCACCATCATCGAGCCCCTTTGAAGAACGATTTCTGGTGATGGACAGGTGCATGGCTCGGCTCACCTATAAAAAATGGCCCGTGGAAGTGTGAGCTGATTCTCCATCTGGACCTTGGGCTGGGGGAAAAAATCCCTTGCTGGATCATTGAAATGGCATGACCAGTGTCACCTGTCAGGTCTCTCTGCCATTCCTTGAATTCTAGGGGTGCTTCCAGACTGGTGCTTCTTGTGGGATAGTGCATCTCATTCATGTACCGGTAACTCTTTTTTCACAGCATCCACAAGATAACATGGTGATCAAAATGCCAACCTATATTTTTTCCTCATTTAATCCGGATTTACTCTTTCCATTGAAATCTGATGTTCCGAAAATTATAATGTACCAACAACACACTTGCAATTTCACAGTGACTCATTTGCAATATTAAGCCCCCATGCGGAAGGACCCTAAGACCTAAGTGTCTATTTCTTACCCATGAATTAGGCTTATCTGGCTCTACATACTGCCAGTTGGCTCTGTGATGGCGATGAGGAAGATGTGGCGCTCCATATTTTGTTGGACTATGGCTGCCATCACCCTCATCACTGACCATACTGGCTGGAGCAGATGGAAGTTGGATTCCAACAATATCTGGATGGTCACAGGTTCTCCATCTCTGCTCCAGGATGAGGAAAAGAGAAAGAGTGAGTTTTGTGAGATTTCAGAGTTTGCCAATGAGGTTTACATTTTTTGTTGTTGGGTCCAGACCCAAGGGGTTACCCAGAATTCAGTAGTACATGTGGTGTAGTCCTGAATGAGACTCTGGTAACTTCCAAAATGCATGTGGAGAATTGCATGACTGAATGACTCCCTTTCTTGAATTTTCCTACGTGTGCAAAGCATGAGCACATTAGAGGGAAAGTTTCTAGCTCCACAACCGCAGCAAGCTCTCTGGTGCCTGGAGATTCAAGTATTTATAAGACCGTTGGAAGATAGATACAACAATAAGTGGGTTTTTTAAGGATTAATTGACGGATTGGATAAAGCAGACACATTTCCTCAGCTCAAAAAACTTTAGACAACACTCCTAATTATTATGTTTCTTAGTGATGTGTTTTTAAAAGGCACTCGGCCATGTTTGGCTCTTTCTCACCACCAGCTTCGCGGATCACCTTTCAGGAATTTCCAGTGCGTTTTTGAGCAGATGCCAGCAGGACGTTGCAAAGTGATGACAAGCCTGTGCCTTGAATTGTTCTGCATGCAAAAGCATTGTTATTTCCAGCCTCTGCCTGGGTTGTCTCAACAGAATCAACAGAGCACTAGGCATATTCCCTATCCCACTCCCAGCAAATATATTCTGTCGCATTTGCCAGCCGTTAGAATCCTGCTCTAGTTTTCTTTGCATTCCCTTATCTAGGAACCTACTGAGGCTCTTTAAAGCTCACATGGCCACCCCTCTCATTTTAATGGCTCCCCTGTAGTTCCCAGTATTAACTGGGTCTGGTATTAACCATGGTACTCTCTGACATATAGCAGAAATCCATTCTTTTAGATTAATATGTATCAAAGCGGAAGCTAAAGAATGTCTTGGAAGAGTGATAGGGAATATCAGAGCTGTGGGTTAAATGTGGACCTCCAAGGCTTTCTAGCTGGCCCTCTGTCTCTCCAGCCAGGCCCTTTCTCCCCAGATCATATCCTTTACTTGCCCTGCTCCGCTCCGCACCATCCTTGAATGCTTTTGGTTGGCTGGAAGCTGCTCTTGAACAGGATTGATGCCTCTTGTTTCCTGAATGAGCGGTGGGAAAATAAGAGGGGAGGATGTAGAAACCTCTGACTTGTGTGGCTAGTCAACTGCCTAAAGGTGAGTGTCACATCTCTTGCTCAGACCACTTTTGACTCTGACCCTGCCCACTGCTGTGAAGTGGCCCCTGGGAGGTTCCTCACAAGGGAATGTGGCCCCGTAGGCTGAAAGGCGTTCCCATCCCTGACTAAGAAGGAAAAAGCAGCAGGCAAGTGCAGCCCTACGTTACATGGAAAACGAGTCCCACTGAATCCCAACGGGCTCAACTCCCATGTGGAATTTCATTTTCAAACTACAATTCTTTTTTTGCAGAAGATTTAGAAGTATATTGATTTACAATTGTCAGATGATAAGGTGAGCTCCAGAGGCAATACTAGGGGCATCAAAATGGGCCCATGCATAGTCAATAGGGCTTCAATTATGAAGACCTGGATTTACATCCTACCTTTTGTCAGCTAACTGTGCTTACCTGAAGGAGTGTCTCCATCTCCATCGTTCAGCCTGGACATTGAGAGACACCTATTGGGGGCCTTCTCACAGTTTCCTCACTGTGAAGTTACAGGGAACCAGGCAGAGGGCATTCTCGGTAGTGGCGACCGCCCTGTGGAACATCCTCCCATCAGATGTCAAGGAAATAAACAACTATCTGACTTATAGAAGACATCTGAAGGCAGCCCTGAATAGGGAAGTTTTTAATGTACAATGTTTTACTGTGGCTTTATAATTTGCTGGAAGATGCCCACAGTAGCTGGAGAAACCCAGTCAGATGGGTAGCATATGTGTTGTTGTTGTTGTATTATTCCCTACTCACCTCTGCCCCAGTCTCACATCTCTATTTTCAAAATGGCGCACCAACCATTTTTTGTTCCAAACTGACCCCCACTCCAAGCTTGACCCCTTCTCCTTACATGTGGGGTTCTAGACATGATTTTGCAAGCATATATAAGTAAACACATGTATTGAATCTGGCATGTAGTGGGGGAGATGATCGGGTGGGAGGTTGGAGTAGAAAGAAGACCAGCAGGAAAATAATTATCCATAAACACAACAGCACTTCTCAATTCAAAATGGCTGCTGTGGCAACTTTTTATTAAACAGCCATTAACGTTTTGCTCCTGGGTGTTTCCATAAAAATTCATGTGTTGCCCCTTAATCAGCAGTGGGGAACCTGACACCCTCCAGATATTGCTGGACTCCAACTCCCATCAGCCCCTGCCAGCATGGCAAATGGTATGTGATGATGGGAGTTGGAGCCCAGCAATATCTGGAGGCCCATAGTTTTTCTATCCATGCTTGTAATTATAGGACACTTCTTCTTCCGTTCTGCCATAAATCCCCTTTCATTTCTATGACTAGGTTGAAATCCCAATCTGTTAAACACTGCCTTGTCACAACAGGTCTTTGCTATCAGAAATGGGTTGCATGAAGGAGCATGAAGAACATCCCTACTCCCGCACTGATATAATTAAAGCTGTTGGGTATTTCAGTAAAAAAAGAGAAAGTCTTAAAAGCAAGGTTACGTTGTAAATGAAAGCCTTGACTCAACCACAAGCATTTATGCCATGGAAAGCAGTGTCTGCTAAAGTGCCTCGTTTGGTATCTTAAATCAGATTAAATGGCACATCAGCTTAAAATAAGACAAAAGTAGGTACTCTTCTCTAAATATACCATTAAAGGTTTTCTCCAAACCTTGCTGCCATCCTGAATGATATGGAGCCATAAGAGCAGCATGGCATCTTTAAATACACTGAGAAGTAAGAATTCCCAAGCAGTGTTAAGGCTACAAGTATCTTCCTTTGCATACATTTCAATCATGGTTCATTACAGTTCCTGCTTACCATAATATATACTGAAATATACTTGTCTTTTGAAGATCAGTGAAGCAAAACAGCAAACTCAAACATGACATGACATTTTTTCAGTGACATAGGTCAAGTGTGACACAGTGAATTTCTGGAAAGAGCAAAGTTTCAGATAATGAAGTGGTTTCTGTTTTGCTCACCGTACCTGCCTTTTGAGGTTTACTTGCTTGTTTTTTTAAAATGAAATACTTGGTATTTTTTAAAAGTCTCAAATCTCTTTTTTTCTTAAAGCTCCTGGTAGCATCTATCTGATGGTTGCAGCTAGGTGTGGTACAGAGCAACTGAAACAGACACAGACCAAGGCAGTCATCTGCAAGTGACATGAGGAACACTGCTCAGATAACAGGAAGCTCCTAAACAGAAAAGGAGAGTTGAAACTATCTCGGAATTTAAAAAATAAACCCAGCTTGGTTACCTTTTCCTGTCATTTTGTGCTGTGACTTCACAGAGTCATTAAAATCCAAATAAAAGGAAGAGAAAGCACAGCAACACATCACATTGCAGTCCATTCCTATGTAAGGCCTTCAATATATTCAATAGGGTTTCCTCCCAGTTATATGAGGTTGTAGCCATTTCACTAACCTCTGAATAACGCTAATACTGTGCATATGACCAAAATCTTTACTAATAAATTTGTGGCCATTTTGAAGCCATTTTCTGGCTTGGGCCTCATCGATACTATGCATATAAAGCACTTTTATTCTTCTTTAAGAGTCCTGGCTCCCCTTGCTCCAAATCCAGGAACTGTGGTTAGTTAGGGGTTTTCTAACTAACTTTCGTGAAATTAATTACGATTCCCAGGATTCTTTGGGAAAGGCAGCCACGACTCTTAAAGTGGAATGGGAGTGCTTTAAGTGTGCAGTGCAGATGTGACTGATATTTTGCTGCTGGTGCAATGTGCTTAGGGTAGTGTTGCTCGCACACACACACACCCAAAAAACACCCCAGCCCCTCCCCTGCTCATTCTGAGGATGCAACTAGATGTGACAGGGCACCTGTGCATGTTTAATTTTTAGGGTCGCTAAAGTGCCGACGCACTATTGCAATACAAATTGCCAAATGTTGCACAAACTCTCATCACTGGGCCACTTAAGACAAACTTTTGCCAATGGCTTACAAAACTATTTTGTCACGCATGATGCTTAAAGTGGTTTTTGCTTCAATTAGATTCATAATGCGAATATAAACACTAGCCAGAATTCTCATTTACTTTACAAATGCCTCGCCTTCACTTTCTCTTTCTCTGCATGAAAAAGAAACCAAGATGTTAATGTAAAAAATAAAAATAAAAATAAGAAGGTTCAAAAGTGATTTAAGCTTCCTGTGTTTTCTGATTATCCTAAGGCAGTCGCCGCAGTTTTCTTCTGTTCCTTGAGGTCTGGTTCTACTTACCGGTACATTAAAAGGTCATTTTAAGACTTTCTTCTCTTTCTCCTTAGAGAATTTGTATTTGTTCTATAATGACAAAAATTAAACGCTTGAAACCACATGAAGGGAACTAAAAAGAAGAAGAAGGAAGTACATTGTCTCCATTTTGGTCACTTCGTATTTCTGTGTCTGTGTTTTACCAATACGTATTTTATTGTAAATTGTGGCATTCACAGGGAACTTCAGCAGTAGCAGCAGGGGTAAGGGGGGAGAGAGAGAATTATCTATGGACCAAGCTAACCACTTGAGTTGATGCATTCTGCATGGGTGTGGGAAGCTGAGTCGCTGCATCCAGTTTAGAATATTTGCTGAGTCGTGGCATTTGCACTACTTCGTTTCAGAACTACCGGTACTGGAAACCTCCCTTAAGCTATGACACCAATAATTAAAGCAGCATCATTGTGCTCGTTTCCCTGGGCTGATTATGGACAAAGAGAATAAACACATATTCTATAGTTATTACGTTGTAACCTTTTTCATTTCTTGACCAAAATTTCCTTTTGTCTAAAGGAGAACTAAGCCTAATACCCTGAGTTTCTCTTCTTCACTTAAATGTACTGATTTGATGTAATGGAACTCAACAAAGACCATAAGTATGAAAAAAGTGATTCATTATTACAGAACCTCCTGCTTATATATAACTAAATCATATGTTGGCCATGTCTGCATTCATGTCTCACTCCATTCTGGTATGGTTCTCCATTACTTGAGCTCTAGGTATGTATCCCACAGATAGCGTTGAAAATGCCCAGGCATAGGACTTCTTCAAACATTAAGAATTAGCTATGTGCATATGTGCTTGGATCATGGTTTATGTGGTCTTAGAATGCTCACTTGGCAACACTTCCGGCACCAAATAAAAAGGTGAGGCTATCTGTCTATTATTCTGTGCTCCTGGGGTGCTGTGGGTAATTGACTCTGCCTCTTTGACCCTTATTTTGCACCAAGCTCTGTTTCCCAGCCACAATTGTCTTCCTGGCTTTTGTTGGTGGACCTAAAGGTCTAAAGTTGATCCTACAAGTCTGCCCCTTCCTACCTTATATATTTTTTTAAGGAAAAGCATTATTATCTTTTAGAGACATATCAAAATCTTTTGAAAACTGAGCATTCTAGCATAATTTCATATTGGAGGGATGCTCGTCTCTCTCCTCTCTCTCACTCTCTCTGCCTATAGGTATTATGGAATAACATTGATTACAAATTTAAATATACGGGATTGATGCAAAAATGCAACCTGCCATGTTCAGAGGATAGAATCTAGCTGGAGGACTTTGAAAGGAAAATATTACATTTATGTAAATCAGTTAAAAGAAGAACATCATTCCTAAGTGAAGAATCATGCATGAGAGCAAATAAAAAAAGAAGAGGAGAAGGAAAGAAGAATTACAAGAGGGAATTTTCCTTCTCTCACAGACATATGCTTTCGCACAACCAGCGCTATAAATCATGAGAAAGCAGCAAGCACCTTGACCTGCAGGCCCATAAAATATCAATTACTGGCAGAAGCATGTTACAAGACTTGAAGGAATAAAGGTCTAGCATTGCAAAAAAGAAAGAAAGAAAGAAGCATGTAGGAAGTAAAACCTCAGATATGCTGGAGCAATCAGGCCTACAAACCAAAGATGGCAAAGGAAGACACCCCAGTGGAATTATTAGTAGAATTCTCTAGACACAAATGTCTACTTTGTCAAAAGTGGGTGAATAGATTTGATTTGTCAAATGCAAGTGAGATGGCCACATTCTCTTCCTAAGTGCAAAGCAGGAGATGTCTGCTACCCTACACTTTCCCCGGCTCATACTCCCATTCTGATCATGCTCAGTCCTCCCCATAAAGGTAAAGGTAAAGGGGCCCCTGACCATTAGGTCCAGTCACGGACACCTCTGGGGTTGAGGCGCTCATCTCGCTTTATTGGCTGAGGGAGCCGCCATACAGCTTCCGGGTCATGTGGCCAACATGACTAAGCCGCTTCTGGTGAACCAGAGCAGCGCACGGAAACGCCATTTACCTTCCCGCCAGAGCGGTACCTATTTATCTACTTGCACTTTGACGTGCTTTCGAACTGCTAGGTTGGCAGGAGCAGGGACTGAGCAACGGGAGCTCACCCCGTCACGGGGATTCAAACCGCCGACCTTCTGATCGGCAAGTACTAGGCTCTGTGGTTTAGCCCACAGCGCCACCCATACCAGGTATTTATTTAAAAATACACACAACCATGTAAGGGTTTTTAAGGAGGATTAAGAAAATTCATGGAGGATATCAGTGGCAATGAACCCTGATGCTTATGTTCTGCTTACATTGTTGGAGGCCGTATCATATCCTCCAACATTTCTCTGATGAAAATAGGGACGTCCTGTTCCATAATAAATCATAATATTGATTTCATTATTTATACCCGCCAATCTCACTGGGTTGCCCCAGCCTCTCTGGGTGGCTTCCAACATATATAAAAACTTAATAAAACACTAAATATTTTTAAATCTTCCCTATACAGGGCTGCCTTCAGATGTCTTCTAAAGGTTGTATAGTTACTTATCTCCTAGACTTGGGGGTTCACGTACCATATCTTCCAACATTTCTCCAATGAAAATAGGGATGTCCTAAAGAAAAGCCAGACATTCCAGAATCAAACCAGGAACTGAGGCGGCTTCTGTAAAACTGAGACTGTCCCCGGAAAATAGGGGCACTCGGTGGGTCTGAGTGTCCCAACCCACAAAACTGTAGAATCTACAGTTTTGAAATCAATGGGACCACAGAATAGTTCATTTTAGACCTTTCAATTACATGCAGGAATAACACAGAGAAGGCAAATGAGGTCATTCTGCTGTCCCTGTCTTGATCTCACATAGAACACAGGACATCTCCAAACATGTATGGTCTCCCCACATGCTTTCTCCAGGTTCCAGATCTTGTGGAGAAAGGCTTTGTCCCAAAGGAGTGATCAATATGAGGCAAGGCATGGGCAGCGAGCATGAACCCATAT